ATAAAAATTACAAATAATTACATAAAGGAAAATTATCTAAAATTTTATAAAAAATTATGAACTTTATGAAATTTTTTTGAGGAGATAGATAATTATACATATTAGTAAATATAATATTTAATTAAAAGACAAATTAACATTAAATTAATTCAATATGCATAAGAATTATCTTTTAAGACATTGATTATTATGACTATTATGAGCAATGTTTTAATTCGAATCTTTTATTTGTGTGTTACAGTATCATCGTAGCTTCGTAGCTGAATAACTCCGCCTGTTGCGCTTCAGGTCGGTAAGTGAAAAAAATTTTTTTATAAATAGGGTAACGAATCTGTAAAACTTGTATTAAATTTACTATATTTATATAATAATGTTTATATAATAATGCAATTTAAATTCTCACAGATCCGTTGCCCTTATATGGATAGGCTAGATCAGACTAGTCAATAATTCATTGTAAAATATCATTTCTTGATTTATATATTGTTCCTACAAGAGAATAAAATTTATTATGTTAATGATAATCGAAATTTTGCGATGGATATTTTATTATCAAATTTAAATATTAATTTTTATTTTTTTGTGAGAAAGAATTTTAACTTGTATATATAACACATGGTTTTCCCATCTTAGTCTTTTATAGTCTATCCATTTGGTTTTTTAAATTTGTATTAATAAATAAAACAAAATAAAATGACGTAAGATCCAGTAAAAATTTGACCGCGGAATTGAAAAATTTTTTATGTAGTACCATCTCAAAGTTATTAGTTTTACAAACGTGATATTACAAACATCTGCCGATATTAATAATCTAATTTTAACATAAAATATTTTATATGTTACTCACTTAATTTATTGATAAACGAGTTTTAAAATTTGTCGCCTACTTCCTCAGGGACTCACATTGATGAGTACGGGGATTGGCGTTCCCGAGGTACCCGAGCCATTTATGTTGCGTTTCACTTGGCATTTCGCAACGATTTTAAAATCATTTTATCCCGGTTATTTATTAAATACTGTACATAACGCTCTCAGCGTTACAAAATTCAAGTGGAACGCATTCTAAACAGGTTTATTCATATTTCAATTTAAATATTATACCATTCAAGTAAAGATAAGAGGACACGCGTTTTAATCTTTTAATTAATATACGCATTTATAAATATACATACGATTTGAAAACAATAATTAAGAACATATTTAATCGTTGATTGTTTCTGCGCTTTTGGAAGCAATTACCATGACGAAAAGGTATAAATAACAAAAAAATAAATAAAATAAATAAAAAAATAAAATAATAGAGGAATAAATAAAAATAAATATAGAGGAATGAATTTCATTGTTGTTCCTCTGTATAAGAATCAAATATTAAGAAATATGCTCATACGGTGAGATACCATAACAATCGTTATATCATAATTTTTTAATCGTCTCGTTCAAATTTGAGAGTGTCTGCTGCAGATCCAAAATTAATCCCGGGTTTTCTCTGTCACGGATTCCCGGTAACAGTGGTTTCGGCACGAGTTGGCGACAACGGCCATATAATTTATAAATTCGTGTCGCGGAATTAATAATAAAAAAATAAATTGTGGGAAAAGATTTTATTCGTTTCTCAAATGTTTTCCCATTAATGTTATCACTAATATATCGGTTTAATTTTGTTGTGTAATACTTACATTACACAATGACAGATGGAAAACGGCGACAGTCGTTAATTCATTGCCGAAATGATTGTTATCTGGGGGCAATCCTGAAGATTCGGGATTCGTTCCTTCCTGCAGCAGGCTTCTTGAAATTCAACGAGGCTTTTTACTGAGAAAAAAATTAAATTATTTTTAATAATATCAATAATGATCTCATTGTCCCTCAATATCAAATGTTAAGAAATATGAACGGTGAAAAATAGTAACAATTGTTATATAATAGTGAGTTTTTTTTATCGTCTCGTGAAAATTTAAGAGTACCTGTTCCAGATCCAGAATTAATCCCGAGTTTTCTTTGTCACGGATTCCCGGTAACAATGGTTTCGGCACGAGTTGGCGACAACGGCCATATAATTTATAAAGTCGTGTCGCGGAATTAATAATGAAAAAATAAATTGTGGGAAAAGATTTTATTCGTTTCTAAATTGTTTTCCCATTTATGCTATCACTAATATATCGGTTTGATCTTGTGGTGTAATATTTACATTACACAATGACAGATGGTAAACGGCGACAGTCGTTGATTCATTGCCGAAATAATTGTTATCCGGGGGCAATCCTGAAG